TTGGGGCAAAAACACATGTCTATATACAGTGGATCCAATTTATAGTAAACGGACAGCAACTGAACTGTTTAAACTCGAATTCCAGATTAGGCTCGATTGTGGACTAGGCCGCTATTGTATTATTGTTTGAGAAGAGTTATTTATTGTAGTTTGGTTTCATTTTCAAATTATGTTATTAGCTTTATTTTATTTATTAGTCTGAAGCTGTTCGTAAATATAGTTAGAAATTAGTATACGGGTATATAAAATAAATTTGACTTACGTCGTTCTATTGTAGAATGAATCAAGTGTACTTTATTCATAGATCATTTTTTAAAGTGCAACTATAATGTGTTGCCTTTCAATATTTTTGACCTTTTCTTATTTTATTCTATTTTATTGTTTTACATCAATTTTTTATTAAAAGTCACATTATGACAAAAGACAAGGAAATACAAATTAATTTAAGCAAATGAAGAAGATTTTTAAAATATGAATCATTTTTAACGAAATTGCTTGGCTCTTCAACTTTCAATTATAAAGGCAGCGAATCGAACTTTGTTGTAAATTTAAAATTGATAAATTAATTAAATATGGTCGAAAATTTGACCCTAGCAATGGAATTATGCCCATTGTCTAGACCTCTACAAAATGGCAGTAAGAAATTTAGATTTATTTAGCGTTGACGGAACGAGGGGCCACAAATGCTTTAAAGAAGTCAAGTGTGGAAGGAAAAACGCAAATTTCATTTGGGCGGTTGCAGCTGGCTGTCTGTCGATGGGCGGATTGGGTGATGTGGGCGTGGCAACTGGCAACAACCGATGCTGACTCGATTCAGTTTGGCAGCGAAGCATAACAATACGACAAGCCATTGAAATATTATGATTGACTTTTATTACATGGAATTGCAATTTATTTTACTTAACAACAAACACCGGCAACAAAGCGAAAGCAAACGAAATCAGTGACAGAGACTGAGGCAGTGGCAGTGGCAGAGGCAGTGGCAACACAGTGCCAAAGCCGGAGCCAAAGCCAGAGGGAGAGCACAAACAGCAGCCTCGAAAACGGATGAAAAGTAGCAAAAATTTGCATGAAAAGTTATAAAGAAATTACGGTATTTATCATTCGCAGAATTGCGCGTACGGCGTGCTTGTCCGGCGACCCGCACTTCGCCATCCACAGTCCGCTGAGACACGCAGCCGGCATCGACATCAGCATCCAACATGGCTGCCTGGTCCGGCATGGCCGCTGGAAAAGCGTTTCCGTTCATTTATTTGCGCGACTGTCAAACACACTCACACACACACACACACACACACACACCAAGCACACACATACACACATAAGCTTGAGGGCGGTGCTTTTTGCACCCAACTGGATTTCGACACTCATTTTTGTTGCCGTATTTTACACAGAGAGTTAAAACTTTTTCGTGGGGGCAGCAGAAAATTTAAATTTATTGTTTTGCGGTTTTATTGAACGGCTACGGTAACGCCCGCCCACGGCTCACAGCTCCCATCACCCATCAACTGCCTTTTTGGTCGTTTGCCTCGGAATTAGTTGCGCCTAACAAAACATGGGCGTTTGATTTACGGTCCAAGCGATTGAAATTACTTAATTATACCAAAAGTGGGCTAGGTTGCGACTCGTGCGATGTTCAGTGGCTTTAATTAGCTTATTCCGCTAAGCGTTTGTCAACTTTGACTTTAGCACAGTTAATTTTCCTTTAGACTTAACACAAATGCGCCAAAAATAAATAAAACAGAAGTCACTTAAGCGGCTGCTTAAGCCTTCAAATGAGACATGGCCTATTTGTCTAGAATTTAGCTGATTACATATTTATATATGATTTAATAAATATTAGCGGCTTATTCGGTTGATGGCGTTCTGTTTATTTTTGTTATTTGCTTTTAAAGCGCTAAGTAGCTGCACAAGCGTATCATTAACATGAATAGAAAATACCACAAATCGTTCTTTAAAATAAAGGCAGAAGAAATTACTATTTCCTTTGAACGTATGACAAATGTTATTTTGATGATTAAATTGCCAATTTAAATAAGAACAACAGGGATGAGTCCGATTGCGTCGCTATGGAGCATTATGTTGAAGCATTAATTCTAAAGTTGTGCAACCTGAGTCGCTCTGCAAATAAAGTTTAATAATTCTTTGAATTATAGTTTCAAAAGGCACTTCCTATCATATTTCCTATCATACTGGAAATCTGTAAGGTACTTATGTATATTACTTAAAACCACCATTTACTGTTTGAAATACAGAATAACACTCCATTGGATGCAGTTGCTTCAACTTCAAGAGCTATTCTACAGTCGAAAAATAATTGTAACAGCAATCATCATTCACAATCTAACTGGCAAAAGGGCTCTCGTTTTGTTAAAATAAACCGAAAACTGCTCTAACTCAGCCTCTCACCACAATTCCAAAGCAAAAAGGCAAAATCCATTATAATGCCTGCACTCGGACTGTATTTAAGCACCATGACAACCATATTGTGATTGCATTGGCTTTGATGAGTTCTTGTAGTATAATCCAAAATAATTAAAATTTCATTAAGTCGCAGGCAAGGCTCCCAGTAGTCCGGCAAGGAGCAGGTTGCCATTACAATTTGCAAGTTGGCCGGCAATTCAACAGACTTCTATTGCACAACCACAACCCAAGAATAGCCTTCATATTTCAATGTTAAAAGCTTCTTTTTGCAGCTCCGAGCTCCGAGCACCGAGCTCCTTGCACTTCCTATCCTTGACTTTGTTTGGCTAGGCGAGCTCAGTAATAGCGCACAATATCGTCATCGTCCAGGGCCACTGCCATGGGCCAATGACTCCTGCACGCCTTTGGGGCTGACTGGCTTCAACCGCTTTTGTTTTACCGTCTGGCTGTCATGGCAGTTAGTTCCTGTGGCCAACCTTCAGCTTTCCTCACAGCGCTTCAGGTGTTTGTCAATGATTAAAAATGCAGCAAAGTTTCGCTTTTCTTTATCTCTGCGGTTCTCATCAAGTCGGATTTTTTCTTGAGATGTGCGCGAGTTGAAAATGCCGCACGATGTTCAAGTAACACCAGAAATTCGACAGAGAGTTTAATTCTTAAAAATTTAGTTATGTCAGCATTCTTATAAGAATGTATTAGTTAATAGCTTATCATTATCATTAAAAGTTCCAAGAACCCATTGACTAAGAACATTTGCAAAAACTATAGATGTGCGACTTTGTCACGCGCACATCTCTGCTCCCTGCGATTTATAGTGTGTCTGTGTCCTGCGCGTTTTCCAGAAATTCCAAAGAGAGTTTAATTCTAATTAATTTAGTTATGTCAGTATTCTTTTTAGAGTTTAATAATTAATAGCTCATCATTTACTGTGTATTGAATCATTTTACAAGTTTCAAGAACCCATTGATTAATAATTAATTGAAGATTGCTGAAATAGCAGAACAGAAAAGTGTTGCCTTTTTCTGGACTTGCTGTCAGTTTTTAGATAGCACGAACATTTGAAAAAACTACAGATTTGCGACGTTGCTAGTCACGCGCACATCTCTGCTACATATCGCAGTGTGTGTCTGTGTCCTGCCCGTTTGCTTATACCCGTGCACATCTACTGTGGTTTATGTCGCCGTTGTTGACATTTAGTTGACATACACAGCACTGGCCCCAGCCCTACTCGTTCCACTTGCCAAGGAAATGGCGCCAAGTCCGCCTTGTCAGTCATGCGGCACATTTCCGGCAACAACAGACTCGGACTCGGACGCAGAGCGAGAGCCAAGCCCGAACCCAGACCAATACCAAGGCAATGGATCATCAGGCGTCTTTGTTTACGCGTCGCCACTGAGGTTCGCAGCTGCCCCTGCGGCATGCGGCATGCGGTCTGCATCCTGTGTCCACTGTCAGCTCGCGTTGATTGCTTGACGTCAGCTGCTGCGCTTTATTGTTGCAAACTAGAAGGCGACAGCCATAATACACTCCCCCTGCCCTCCCGTCGCTTCGCCACAACATACTCACCATTTTCACTTGCTGTAAACAATTTTTGAAAGGTTATTTTTCATGGGGACAGCATGGGCCGCAGCCTGCTCCGCTTTGCACTTCATTTGCCGTCATCTCGTCCTCGCTGCACTAAATTTTGTTTACTCTCAGTTCCCTCTTAGTCTTTATGCCTGTGCTTTGTCGTAGTCGTGGTCGTAGTCGTGGTTGTGGTCGTTGCATGCACCGCCTGGACAGCTATTTGTTATGTCATTTGGCTCAAGCCGTTGACATTTATCCAACAGCATGAGCGCATGGCCAACTGATATTAAATCGCACAGAAGGGATTTCGATTTGTTGCAAAGACTTAGCATAACTTGCAACATTCCGCTTGAATCTGCAGTTATCAACATTAAAGGATTTGCTAGTTTATATATCTGGACAATGCAAATGCTGAAACAATCCAAACAATGACACATTTAAATCTTGTCTGTTGAACTTTGAATTTAGTTGAATTTAGTTTGCAATTTTACATTTTCTGGGCATTTCTCTCAGTAAACGTAGCACTTGCGTGAGCAAAACCACTTTCTAACTAAGGACTTGCACAAGACTTGTTGTTAGTGCGAGAAACAATTTACTTTTATAATTAAATATTTGCATTTTTCGTCAATTCAATACACATTTTTCCCTATAAAGAATAATTCATTTCTTCTGAGCCTTTCTAAATTATAATTTGCGGGCTATAAAGCGCCAACAAAGTACAATTTAAAATAAGTTAAGGCACTGTTTCCTTTTAGGTCTCATCAACATTTAAATCGAAAAAAAATGTCTGAAGTCATGTACACAGAACAACATACTTCTAGGGTCAACTGTCTGAAATCTGAAATGAAATAAACATAATTTGTCTATATTTCTTGAAAAATAATTTTATTTGCGACACTTTTTATTCTGAAGTGTAAAGGTGAAACGAATACCGTGCTGTGGAAAAATAATAAACTTTTAAAGCTTTTCATTTCGATGACGCCAAATTTACGCGTTATTGGTTTAGTGGATAATGTTGGTTTCGCTTTTTTGACAATTCTATATTCCAACACTCTGCAGTCCAACTACTTTCGGCGAGCACCCGGCGCCGGTCTGAAAGGTTTTCGTCGTGACTTTGAATCAACAATAAGCAATGATTGGCGTTTGAGAAAGTTTCGCGAAGGCACTTCACTGTCATCATCTGTGGCAGCAACTGTGTGGTGGGGGGAGAAAATTGGTGTATGGAAATAGTCATTTGGAATTCCAGAGCAGCTGTCCAACAACTTACCTGCTGCAGGTGCCTGTTCCGGGGAGGATGATGAGGTGCCCGCCGCACGCTGTGCGCGTCCAGCAAACAGATTGTAGTAGCAAATGGGCATGGGTGGAGGCTTCTCACCATCGGCGGCGGATGGCGATTTAGGTGGCTGCGGGGGCTTGTACTCATCCTGTTCCTCCACTACCTCCAACTCCAGCTGAGGTATTTCCATGGGTGGCACATCCTGCAGCTTGCTCAGCTCTTGGCAGCGTTTTATTTTAAGCTTGAGTATCTGTGTAGGGGAAATGTCCAAAGAAATAAAAGCAGCGCTATTAAATAGCTTGCAGGCTAACCTCAATTAAATCTTCGTCCTGTGCGGTGTTTGTCAAATAGTTCGGCAGCTCGGATACTCTTATATGCAGCTTGCGCTCCGGCATATCAATATTGCTCTCGTCCACCTCCTGTATCTTGAAGATCATTTCACAAATTCGCTCTTTCAGATATTTGAGCACCCCCATAGACTTCTCGGCATCTTCCATATCTAATTTGCGCTCCAGCTCCATAGCAGCAATATCATTTTTAATTTTTTCAATAACCTCCTGATTGCTGTAAATACTCAAAGATTTTTAGCCACTTAGTACAACGCCCGTTCCTCATCAGCCTTACACTTCGCTTTCCTTAACATCTGAGAACTTGGAGGCCTCAAGCTCACTGGTGAGCGCCTCACGCTCTGCCTCCAGATTGGCTTTTTCTGCTTCAGCAGCCTTTCGCAAATAGTTTAGACGTGCAGCGGATTCCTTTTGTGCACTGAACCGCTCGAAGACCTCATAGGGTGATGTGGCACCTGAGGCTTCCATGAGGTCTTTGAACAGTGATTCCATATCGCTCGTCACGCTCTCGAGCTGAGCCACAGGCTCCTCCTCCCCATTCTCCGTCTTTGCCGTATGCTGATCACCGGAACTCGAACCCACGCTGTCCTGATGCACTAGGGGCTTGGTCTCGGCGAACAGCTTTCGACCAATACGCTCCAGCTCTACCTTCCGTGCCTCGACTTGTTTGCGAAAGTCCTGAGCTTGGCGTTCGCGTGATTTCTGTGAAAGATTTGCCTGCTGCTCCTGCCTCTGCAGGACGATTTTTGCCGCATCTCGCATTTCAATGGCCTCGTTGTGCACCTTCTGTAATCGATTTATCTCAGCCTTCTGATCGCTAAGCGACTTTTCAAGCTCACGTAAACTACGCTCGAAGCGCTCCGCATCATTCATGAGCGATGCCTCGATGGATCGATATTTTTTGCGAATATGCTCCGCCTCCATCCACTGCACATTTGTCCGATGTATCTCGTTTTCCAGCTGGCAGACAAGCTTAAATGCAAAATGAAACCTTTAAGAGTACCGTAAAGATACCCCTCATTCAAAGGGCATCACATAAAAAGCTTATGCGTAAAATATCGGACTATACCCAGCAATCTAATTATTTGTTTGCGGTTTTTATATTCCCAAAGCATGGGATTTTCTTACTCTCTCCGCACAAGTCTCTTTCCTTATTAGATTTGCTTAATAGGTCTCTGCTTAAATGTCTCTCACCTTACGATTTGCATCCTCCTCAAGCGTTTCAGGCGGTTTCTCGCCTAAATTTTGACTTTGTGCTTCCTTGCTGGCCAAAAGTTCGCGATATTTCTCAACCATTTGGGTAAAATGTTTCTGGCGCGTTTTAAATCGATGGCGTAGCAAATCCAATCGCTTGCGACCCTCCGTTATCTTCAAGTCGGTCAGAAAAATAGCATCGTCAACATTCTTGGCACCTATCGGATACATAGCCTTGCCCACTATGATGGTGGGCGTTGCAGCTGCCTTTTTTGCATCGCCAGCCTGCTCCTTGATTACCACTGGCCTCTGCAACGGATTCCTCAGACGACTCGTCTTCACCGTCAACTCCTTGATTTCCTTCTTGAGCGTGGTAATGGTGTCGCAGTTAATGCGGTTTTGTTTTTGCCACTCCGCCGCATTAGCCGTCTTTTGGCCCTCTATGGAATTTAATTTACTGATTTTGTAATTCACCCAAGTGTTAACTTAAAAACTTGCCTGCAAGCAATATACGCTTTTTAATTTCATTTATTTGGCTGTTTAGTTCATTCAATTTTTCAGATTCCATACTTGAAGCACTGTTCTTTGAATAATGTGTAAAAAATGATGCCTATCGGAGTATAATTTTGTTTAATCAATGCATCGTTGTTGTGGCAACGAAATTTGTAAGACCGTCAGCTGGCAGTGCTGGAACCATAATTATGAATGGTTGCTAACAACAATTCAAACAGCTGTTACAACCTCTATTTTACTGGAAACATTTCCAGGTTAAAAGAGTTAGTAGTAGTACTTAATAGGGGTTAAATGATGAACGTGCGCTCATCATGGGTCCACATTTCGAGCTAGTTGTTTACAATTGGGGAGCTCTGGAGCCCCACAATTAATTGAATTTCAAATTAAAATCAAAATTGATACATTCCTACATGTATTTAGTATTTATATATACATAAATAATACTTAGTTCCTTCGGAATGTCCATTTATGTTAAAATTAACTATGTATTAATACCTTCTACCCTTCTATGGCAGCTTCATAAAAGTGTGAGACATACAAGCAGTTCACCGATTTTTATAAATCTCCTTGCCACTAATTTTTCCACCAATCGTCCGACAGCTATATCAAATAATGAGACTACATATGGATTGAAATAACCTTGAATGACCGTACATGTTCGCAGGTATTAAGTTAAAATTGTTTATACGGATGTACTAACAGACGGACGGATGTTTATATCGATTCGTCTCATCATACTGATTATATAAACGAGTATGTACCTATATTTTACATTAAGACTGCATCTGCTACATACATTCTAATATATAATGTCCTATTAACCCTTCGAGTACAGGGTAAAATGAATATGAATCAATATAAATTTAAAAAACTGCTATCTATATAGTACATACCGTCTAATCTTTATATGATTTAGTTACTTTTTATAGCCTGTACCCAAAGGGTGAATGGCTATACTAGTTTTGTGCGCATGTATGTAACACACAGAAGGAGGCGTGGCAGACCCCACAAAGTATATATATTCTTGATCAGGATGAGAAAACGAGTCGATATAGCCATGTCCGTCTGTCCGTCCGTCCGTCCGTCTGTATGAACGCAAGGATCTCAGAAAGTATAAGAGCTAGAATAACCAAACTTGGTATCCAGGTTCTCCTAAGTCCGAGAAAGTACGAGTTTGTATTTTTTTTTCTGATGCACCCCCCCACTCCCCCGCAATTCGTGTTTTTTCTTACAACTTCCGTAATTCTCGGAATTTTGAAATCAATTTTGGTAGGTACATCCAGTTAGTACTAATGTGTCCGTGTGCCAAATTTCATCATGATAGGTTAATTCTGAAGAAAGTTATAGCCATAAGTAAAATCGCTGCTCATGCGCTGCCTGCAGCTCTGTCTGCAGCGCTGCCCGCAGCTGTTGTTGTTGTTGCTGCTTTGGTTCAACTTTGTGCTGCATACATACACGCATATAAACACGCATAGGTACGTGAAGTAAATGTATGCTGTTAAAACTGAACATAATCATGTATTCTAATTTTATTTAATTCATTTTTTTTAATAATTTTATTTTTTTTTTAATTTTTTTTTTAATTATTCTTTTTTGTGGAGAGTACAGGGTATTTTACTGTCGGGCTTGCTCGACTTGTTTGATGTTTATATATTAATGGTGCTGCTTCTAAGTAATTCCGTATACTATTTCATAATACAAACAGCTATACTCTGGGCATATATTCAAGGCATTGCTATTCCTAGAGTATTATTATATTTGTTCAACTCTCGTTTAATTATTTGAAAGAAACCTATTTTGTTCACGGAGAATAACACTGTATTATATATTTGGTAACATTTTTTCAAAATAATTTCGCAAGTTATAACAATAATTTTAATGATAATGACCACGGCCCATAACACTGATAATATGTGCATAGGGATATTGTCTGGAATTTGTACGCATTTTCTCATTTTTAAATTGAACTGCGATGTAACACACTCTACAGTTCATTGAATTTGACGAGGAAGTTTTAAAAACGGCTCTTCCATCCAACTCCTGGAAAATTACATAAACGTGACTTTAAACATTTTTGCTCCTTTTCTGTGACAAGAAAAGCGTAAAAAAGTCAGCTTATTGCTTGAATCAACAACCTGTAAAGCATTTATCAATAATTTAACAAAAAATTAAATAAATATTCACCTCATTTAATTTGGCCAGCAATTATTTCAAAATCTCGGTTCATATATTTACAAGTAACTCCTTAAAACCGTAGTTCAGTTGCTTCAATTTCAAATAGTGTTGTAGCCATTACAAAAATAATAACATCAGGGAATTAGATATCACTTTCAAATCACGCCGCTCCAATCTGAAGAGAACTGAATAAGTTTCTATAGTGATTTGAACAATTTTCCTCTTGAGATCAATTAATAAATATATGTAAATTATTTACAGATATCCTTGATTTAATAAAGTAACTAATCCCACCTTCTTTAATTTCATTCAAAAAACCTCGAAAATTGGTTAGGTTCATCAAAACAAAAAAGGGGAAATTAGTGGATCTTTCCTGTATACACTACATTTGTAAGTCTTGTGTTATGAAGACATTTTCATTCTAAGTATATGGTTTTAATGTATTTATAAAACTCACCTTTCCATGCCGGTCAGCAAATTTTATTTCACAAAAAAAGAAAATAAACGTCCTTGAAAAAGAGTCAGCTAATGAAACGAATTAACCCACTGTTGTTTTCAATCTACAAAACATTTAAATCTTTGAAAATTTTATAACTTGGTCGTACCATTTCCTTCCACTTAAGCTAATTTAATTTTGCCAAGAACTCATTCAAAACATAATTACAATTTTGTTGTTTGCGGTGATTCCTGTAAGTATGTTGGCAAAACTTTCCGAACTAAAAAAATAATATTTCAATCTTTATCAATTCAATTGCATAGAAATGTTGACGTTCTTCTTACCATTTCAATTCAATTCAATTATTTCAATTTGGCAAAGAATGGGGCAACTTTTAAAAACATCGAAGTTTGGCAGATCAATATCGCAAAAATTAGTAAAGTGAATAAAAGTTTAGTTAATGCATCTCACCATTTCCATTAATTCAGCTCGCTTCGTGTGGCAAGGCATCCTTTAACAGTCTTTAGGAAATCAACTGCTGTTTCGTGCTTCTGGAAGCGGCAAGCCAAACGTTCCAAGATACCATTCGGTGATTTGGCAAAGTTTTGTTCCGCACAGATGCAGCTACTAGAATTGTCGCCCTTGAATTCTAGCTTGAAAGTGTCGTGAAGTTCTGTATGCAGAAGCAATTCGCCACTTTTAAGGTCCCACATGAGTACGAAATACCTATTGGATGCTGCCATTTGCCAAATCTGCGTCTTTCCTTCACCTATTGATAGTAAAGCGCTAATGTCAGCTCTTCTAAACCCTATTGGATCTCAACTCACCTCTCTTTATCCACTCCTTATAGTTGTTGAAGAAATATAATTTGCTAAACTTCTCGAAAATCAGCTCTCCATTTTCTACAATTTCGTGAGCGCTAATTCTACCAGACAATTTGGCAGACCTCTTTTTCACGTTCCTCACTGCTTTGGAAATATGTATTTGATGCTGAACTTTTATTTGAACCCTCATACTCACATTCACTGTTCTTGGCTTCTTTTGGGGAGGGATTTATCTCTTCCTTCAAGTTCACATTTCTAAGCTTTTTAGTTTTTTGACCATTTTTATGCTCCGGTACCGTCACATCCTTCTTATGAAGGGGGTTTTCTTTTGAATTCGCGCATGTAAACACTTCAGTTGCACGAGTATTTTTCTGTTTTGGTTCTTGCATATCCCGAGCACATTTGATTGAAGCTGAGATTTCTTTATGTTCGCCATCTATTTCGGAATCGGATATTTCTTTTAGCTCAAGAGACTCCTTTTCCGCTGGAGGTTGCACCATAAGCGTCGAAAGTGGTTTCGTCTTCAGAATGTGTAAAATAGGATGAGGAATAAGCACAGCGGTTCCTGGAGCTCGTTTGTTCACTAGCCGAAAGGCTCCATTTGTGGCCGGGCTCTTCGCAGACATTCCTATGCACTTCTGAGTCACACCGTAAATTTTTCTAGGCGCAGTGGATGATTGAGACGCACTTCGGAAAGCTTTGAAAGGGAAACGAAAGCAATAATAAACGAAATCGTAGAAAGCGCATGCAATCGTATAACTTCAAATTATTAATTTGTCATGAATATAGCTCATATTTGAAATTTTTATTATGTTTAAATTGATTTCATGTTCATGTCCTCACACAATCCTTACTCAGATAACTTATACATACCCAATGCAGGATGCACAGGTGCATTCAGAGAGCTCAACGATGAAGATGATCTGCAGTCGGTTGCCGAATCCCGATGCACTTTATCGCCAAAGCTTTGTCGCATGCTTGGTTGTATCAATGCCTTTGCCGTAAAAAAAGTACTAAAAAGGCTTAAGGGACGTCTTAATATAGGCTTTGGATCCGCAATGTTAGGCTTAAGTTGAACTTGCGACGCTTCGATGGCATCGCGCTTTGAAACTTCCTTTGCCTCATTGGCAATTAGCTCGTCGTCTTTAACTTTGCACCCCTCCAGCTCTACATTTGGTAAGAAATGGCTTTTCTCTGCTGGGCCACAGACCGCATCCCCACCACCAGACTCTTCAATCTCCGAAGCAAAAATGGTTTCCACTTTTGGCAGCTCTTCCTCGACAATGTTCACTTCATGGACCATCCTTCTCTTTTCTGCCACCGGTGTAGTGTCAACTGCCGCTGACTCGAATCCAAACAACTCGTCAAAGTTCAACTTCTCCGGCATTAGATCGAGGGCGGCTCCAGGTGTCAATGTGTCGAGCCTTATCTTGGCTTGTGTCAAGTCTAACTCGGCTTCTATAGTAGGTGCCTGTGAGCTGCAACTGAACTCATTAAACTCCCCCACATTGGTGCTCTGTTTGACTTCGACTGGTTTATTGACAAACGGCGTCAATATCGGATCCGGACAATCGAAAGTAATATTATTCACGGGTTTTTGTAATGGCTTTACATCCAGTGCATTAAACTTTTGCTCCGATTCCAGACGACAATCGAAGTTAACCTCGCCAGTTGGTAATTCGTTTTGTTCCGACATTTTTTTTTACTATTTGTACTTGTTATTGAAAATGAGCCAAAAATAAATTTTTTCAAAACTGTCCACACAAAAAATACGAAAAATATATGTTTCCTGTTCACTTATTAAAGCAAGACTGAATGATATGTGATTTTTCTACTGACATACCTGAACCAAAGCCACCTATAGCTTTAAAAACCCGACCTATGCGTGCAAACATTAGCGATAAAAACAAAACAGCTCTACTATTCTTAATTATGCGTATCGTTGCTTCCCTTTCCGTGTCTGATTTATACGACACACATTTTTATTGACTGCCCATCTAAAAACTTTTCCCATTGTGCCAGGCTAATGGATCTACTTCTTCAGTAAATTAGCGACCACTGTGTCTAATTACCAATTACGCGTGACTCAACGGTGCGTATGCGTAACCACAGAGAACTGGAACGCACATGAGCCTCAAATTACCAAGTCCCCTTTTGACTTTTCACTGAACGTCCTGCAAACAATTGAAAACAGAAAGACACATATTCGCAACTAACGTGAAAAGTTCTCGTAGCAAAACGAGCGGAAGATATTCTTTTATATATAGTATACGTAAGTAGCTCGACAAACAATGGAGGAGCATAAAATGCAGAAAGAATGGAATCAAAGAAAATACGCGTAGAAGAGGGCAACGCAAAGAGCATTTCACAAAAATAAAACAATCAACATTTTCGCGCCATTAAATTTGTATGCCACTAAAATTGCGTTTCCGTTTCCGCCAGCCCTGCATGCGTGTATTTGTTTGTTGTTATTGTTGTTGTTGTTGCTGTGTGTTTATGTCTAGCTTTCTGATTTTTGTTTATGTCGTAGATTCCACATTTTTCACGCAGCTCCCCCTCTCGTCCAGTTCATATGCTTTTTTCCTTTATTATTATTTTCTCTTTCCAACAATTCAATTGCCTGACTTTTCCATTGCCACCAGCAAACAAGACTGCGCTCAGAATTCTGCTCTGCTCGTAAATCTCGCATTGGATTGCAAATAGGAATTTTGTTGACATTTCCCTAGTTGCACAGCAGCAGCCAAAATCCGAATGCTTGCCTCAGGCTTTGAAAAATTTTCAAAGCCAGCAGAATTGGGAGAAAATATGAAAATCTGATCCGAAAAAGGAAATTGATTTGTGCATTTATTTGGCACTAGGTTGTTGTCTCCAACCAAGGCTTAAACATTAAAGTATTGACATTTTTTGAATTGATTTACCAAGCTTTATATTTTCATTTGTTTCATCACTTTATTTTAATTACACAATTGTTAAGAGGTTTTACCTTAGAGGTATACATACATTTGGGAGATATTCAGTAAGAAAGAGCTGTGCACATGTAAAAGAAATCTTTGTTTATAATATTTTGGATCCAAAATAAGCTATATCTGAATATTGGCAAACTTTCTTGTACTAGTTCTATATTCTAAAATCGTATTGTCTCAAAGCTTAGGCCCTCAGCTTATGTTTTTAACTAGCACTTCTCAATAATTTCAGAACACAAGACCACAGACACAGTTTCATTTTGTTGCAAATGTTGGCGTAAAAGTAATATTATAATATTTTGGATCCAAAATAAGCTATATCTGAATATTGCGAAACTTTCTTGGACTAGTTCTATATTCTTAATCGTATTGTCTCAAAGCTTAGGCCCTCAGCTTATGTTTTTAACTAGCACTTCTCAATAATTTCAGAACACAAGACCACAGACACAGTTTCATTTTGTTGCAAATGTTGGCGTAAAACTAATACGCCTTTTGGGTACAGAATACAAAATATCTGCAATAGACAATTAATGGCTACACCGAATTGTAATTACCCGCAAACTATGCCCTGGAGAGCACTAATTTAACTTTTACGTGGAATACAAACACACATTTCCATGTCGACTTAAGGTACAAACGCAAGAACATATATGAGCAGAGGAGAAAATTTGAACTGCCAGCACATTAGACTATTCACAATCAATACTCGCATCCTTCTTCAAGACAAAGGCGGCTAGAGTAGCCTGCGGTGCCATCAGCATTGTCATTGCCGTTGCCGTTGCCACAGCCGAGAAGCGCATTAAAACTAATTACTTATAATCATTTTGGCTGCGCGCACAATTTCCAATTCCATAAAACCCACCGCACATTGAAATTAATTAACATTAAGCTGCATGGAGTGCTGCACATGTGGCACAAATTATTTTTCCAATAAAACCGACTGAGCCGCAGATGATGAGGAAATTAGTTGGAGAGGAAAGAGTAATACGTAAGCAGAGGCAGAGGCAGAAGCTGAGGCAGTTGCAAGCACAAGGGCAGAGGCAGCAAAAGTAGAAAGTCAAGTGCGAGGCTGCAGGCTGCCAGACTGAAAAATCACCGCGAAATTAATTAAATTTTGTAATTTAAAGATGAAGCCAACAACAACAACAACAACAAGAACGACAACAGAAGCAGCAATAGTGTGTGAGGAGTGTGTTGGTTTGTTTGGTTGCTCGGTTGTGCCTCAGTGTGTTGTGATGTTGGCAGCGCTTCATGCTGATTATGTCGTTTCATTTTGGCCTCGCACTTAGGTTCGCTGACCTTTCGCTGTGACATTTGCCCGTCATGCCCAGCACAGCACAGCAGTCCACGTGCCACAAACACACACACACACACACACAAACACTGGTGCTTGTTTTATGTATGTGTGTGTATGTGTGCCCTGCAGGCGTACACAGCTGCCACCACCCGCCATGACAGCCGGCGAAACATTGCAACGTTCGCGCAACGAGCGCAACGCAGCGCAAAATTATTCTAATTAGAGCAGCCAGCGGCACCACCTTCCCCAGTTACTCCCCCCACCCCTGCCTGCCCCTGTCCATCACTCGTTTGTGCACCTCACTCTGAATAGATAGTTTACCATGCAGCCAGCCTGTCTGCTGCTTTTTGTGCTAAATGTTCCATATTACACACAGAGAGGCATGTCAAGACTTCTTTTCATTTGGCTAATTCTCAAACACATTAGCGAATATTGTTCATGGTTTGAGCCGCGCGAAGTGCAACACAATCCAGGGAAAGGGAAAGTCAGAATCAGAGCATTTTAAAGCTTTGCCACATTTCTATACAGTTGTAAAATGCTACTAAATGCCATTGAATTGCAGTTCAATATGTTTGAAGCCAAATAGTTTGCATTTGCACAGAAATTCGTGCCCTAAACTGCAGTTTCTGGCTTACAAGTATTTAGCTTCTTCTACAGGAGAGCTCGACTGTGACATTCTCTCTTCGCTTTAATTTATTCAAACCATATATCCTTTTTTTGCTTTTGAATATATGAATATTTAATTAATTTAAACTTTTTTTCAAGCCTTCTACAAATATTTGTGGTTTGGTTTGACAGTTGTTTCAACATACATATGTATATCTATCTTTTTATTTCATTCCACATTTTGCTGTCATTCAGGACACAGTTGGCATAGAATAACCAATCATGGCAATCCTAGAGCAGTAATATTAACAGAAACATTTTAATTATTTAGCCCATTCATCCTTTTTTCATTTAAGAAATTACAAAGTGGATTGAATCAAATCTAAAGATAGCTATCGCCTACACAACTTGTTATCTATTTATTTTATCCTAAAATGTATCCCTTTATGGGTAGAGCTTTTCCTTAATGTGGAGCCTTCTTCTACTGCTGTGATTACTTTTCGAGAAAAACACTTACTGCACTCCATAATTTAAAAAAAAAATTCCCATTATGCTGATAAATGATTTTGCTTCCATCAAAAAGCAGAGAAGAGCATGCTCTTGGCTTACACTCGATTCGGCACTGTAGAGTACATACAATATATTTTGCGCCGAATCATTTACCATATGCGATAATAAACAAGACAAGCATGACAAGGAGCAGTGTGTGGCTGAGGGCTTGTGATGGCAGCTTCATGTTCCGCAGCAGCACCAACATGTGCTTAATAGTTTAACGCTTCGTGCTACTTATATTCTGAGCGTATGATTCACAGCACCTCCTTCAGTTGTCTGCTCAGCACTCAGCGATGCTTAATTCACTTCGCTCCAGCACTCATCCTGTTGCCAATGCTCCTACTTCTGTTGCTCTTGCTGTTGCTGTTGTTGTTGCCGAAGCTGATGGCGTTGAGGATGATGCTGCAGCTTTGTAACAGTATTGCCAGTAAGGTAAGGCAGACAACGACGTCCATGACAACGACGACGTTGCTCAAATCGCGGATTCATGTCATATAGAACGTTCGCATCTACGTTTCAGTTTCAAATCCGCGATGTTGTTTTCCGCATGCCTGCCACTGCAACGCTCTACACCCACAAGCTCGTGCCCTAAATTAAGGGCACGACTGCTGCTGTGGGTTACCTGCCTGCCAGCCTGCCAGCCTGTCAGCCTGCCTGCATGCCAGGCTGTTCTCGTCGGATGGGGGCCAACGCGGTGCCAGTCATGCTGAAACGTTCGTCCTCCCTGCCCGGCTTCGTCTCCACGTGTCGCATGATGTATGTATGACATTTTTGCGCCTCATAAACAGCAACATTCCCCGCCTGGTAATCAGGTATACTGACGCACTCAATGGCGCGCTCGCCATTTTGTTGCTCTTTTGTTTTTGTGCACTTGCTGCTTTCATTTCATCATGTGGACGAGTGGACAGGGTGGAGAGTGGCTGCATGGGGCGGCTTGGGGGCCCGGTTGTATGCACAGTCGGTGGCTCTCGACTGTTCCATGCTGTTTGTTTACTTAAACGAAATTGGCACAAATGTTAATGCCGCCATGTTGACAATTTGCCAGTTACTGCGAGTTAACATTGTATGAGTATACATATACTATATATACGCGTATATATATATAGTATATTTTCCTCGATGGTGCAATTTAAATGCGCGCAAAAGTTCTTTGACCCTCAATCCCCCAGACTCATGCATTTGGCTAGAAAGGGGAGGGAAGGGAAGAGAACGGAACGGAAGGCAAAGTTAACAGCTTAAGTCAATGGACGATTAACTTTGTGGTCTGCCCATAGCGCCCATTTTTAAGTAGGATTTGTAAGTACCGACTGCAAGATTAAGTCGGCTCAAATAAAAAGACTTTAAGGCTTATTAGCTTATGGATAATGATAACACAGCTCAGCTGTCATTTTTTTGGTAAAATTTGTGGCGAAGTTTCCGCTCAAGGGTATTATATACTTTATACAAACGGTAATACTTTTAGAATCAGTTACGATAATTTTATCAAATGGCTTTTATTTTTCAATGACTCAACCTTTGAACTGAATTTATTATACCATTGCTTAATTGCTTCATTAAAAGGATTATTTGAAGACATTGCCAAGACATCCGGCTTTAGTTCGAAAATTCAGCAAAACTGTAAAATAAAAGATTTCTTTTCAATTCTTTGTTACTGCTGAAGATTCGGTTCACTTTCTTAAGTTTAATTATATATCTAAAACTACCAAAAAGATGGCCTTATTTAAAAATTAAACTTCCAAGTGAGATATGTATTTAACGATTTTAAAAAGAAAGGAGATCTTGAAGGAGCCTTTAAATAACTTTACACAAGTACTGAATACGTGAGTTTCAATTATAGTTTTAAATTATATGTGTTCTTATAACTCTTAACTCAAGTCCAATTGATAAACTATTTCATAAAAAGAACTCTGGCAGTATACTATAAACATTTCTGGCTAGTTGGTGAAAATAAAGGCCATTTAGAGTATGCTATGAATTAAATAATGGTTCTTTATCAACTTTAAAAGTACCCCACAACCTGGGCTGGGCACAAGTATCTCTCTCTGTCTGCATTTTAAATTGCCGCAAACCACTAAGCCCAAACACACACACACGCACACACACACGCACACACACACATATACACACGCACAGGACAGGGAAGAAACGCGCAACATTTGAATTTGAGTTTGAAATTTGTTTGGGCCGAAATCGACGAAACTTTTTTGGGCTTACAATTCATTGCAATTCTATGGCATCATCATCGAGTGCCGGCAAAACCTCATTAAAAACACATTCCAAATTCATTTGCATAAATTGAAGTCATAGCAACCGCACGAAATCGAAAGCAGCCAGAGAGCCACATCGGCACGGAATATCACAGAAAATCGATTGAATATCAATTAGAGTGTGAAGTCAAGATGCGTACGTGTGTTAAACGTTTGACTATGTTCGACTACATTTTACTAAAATGAAGAACTTTTGTCAAAAAAAGAAAAAAAACAAAGACCGAATACACTGTACTCGATAGGAATACTATGACTTTTTTCGCAAACAAATGCACGCATATTACAATTTCACTTACACTTTCAAAGAGTAAAAAATTCAATTATTGGGCGCACGCTATGGTCAGCGGCGAGCAGTATCAAAAATATGGAGTGCGCAGAAAAATGCACAAAAAATGCTTTTAAAAAAAGCATACACGCAAACAATAGAGGAACATTTCAGTATTGAATCAACATAGCAAAGTGAATGAAACTGTGAAAGTGCATTTGTTTTCCCTCACTTTTTTACTTGCACAATTTTTGGCTTGTGGCGTCACAAAATCCGGCGGATTGTGTCGAGATGGCATAGCACTGGAACCACATATGGGGCTTTAAAAATGAATGGTCGCAATTAAAAATGGCCCGAGCAGGGTTGGTGCAGTAAATTATTTCCAACAAACTAATAAATGTTATTAAATTTGGATTGCTAATAAATTCCAATAGTTTGAATAGTGAAGAAAACCACTGCCGTTGAATTCATTTTAAAATTAGTTAAATATAGAAAATGAATGCCGAGTGAAGATAAATCCGCTTGTATTACCTTGTTATATCACAATGGTACTTTTTCTATTAAATATGAACATAATATTATCAAGTCTTGAAGCACAGTTAACTTTTTCAAATTCTTATATTTGTTTGTAAATATCTGCTTATTATCTCAACTCTCAAAGTGCTTCTGAATTCTGGAATATTCCCATTAGAATAAAAGAAATGGTATGCATTTAAGTTTCTTCTCAATAAACTTAGGTTTGATTACAATAATACATTTTTGCATCTTACTTATAAATACAAATTGCTAATCATATACTATACATATCAAATACCAAAGATCTCAATGTAATATATTTTATATTTAAACATTAGCTGAATTAAAGAAACTTCTAAAGCAAATAATCTATGATTTCGTATACATATATACTACTTAGGTTCTTTCTGTATGGGAAATTATTTAGTAATGAGAGTAACTTATATTTTATCACTTTTCTGAACGATTTTTTTCTTACTAAACTATTTATCTAATCAGCGCACAATCACCAAAATACCCCTACTCCATGCATTTTAAGAATCATCGATATTTCCGCAAATGAATCCTTAAAATTGTTCAGTGGAATTTATTTTAAAGTCTAGTCTTTCTCATGCATGCCATTGTGAATTGGGGGCGAACAGAAAAATATTCAAAAAATTCGCAGGTTGCTGCTATTTTTTGGTTTTATGTCCGCTTCTATGCAGGATTTGAATATTTAACGCACGCAAATGACAACGGGCGAGTAAATGAAATTCATTTGCCATGCGCCACTAAAATTGTCGACCAGGACGAGGACCAGGACGAGGACAAGGGCCGCAGGACATTGCGCGCGAGCTGCTCGTCAAGCATCATCCTTTAAACAAATATTCTAAGCTGCCTTTAAAATGGCAAATAGAAGCTCCGGAGGCTATGGACTTGCTTCATGTGCTTCTCGCTTTATGGTGGATTTTCTACCAAAATATATAAAAATAAAATTGGATTTTAGCGTACAATGTGGAAGGTCGTAAATATATTTTCAATTCGGTCCGCAACCAAACAACATATGATTTCCCCAAGGGTAACGCTGGCAGGACTGTGGTTGTGGTCGGAAGGGACAGTATTGGAAATCGCGTGCAAATGATTTCGGCAAAATTAGCTCCATGGCGCAAATTTGTTTTCGGGATAGCGCCTGCCTGCCTGTCTGCTTTTCCGATGTACTATACTCGTAGTATATATGTATGTAGGCACAAAAGGGAGCAACATGTGCGTCAGTCCTTACCTCATTTGAATGCCTCGCGTTGCGATTTTTATGACACGTATCGGGCTTTTGCCTGCATGGCATATTAAACCCTTTTATCCCTTTCGGAACAGCCCATGATTGTCGTTTGGTGCCCTGTTGTACCTTTCGATAAAGCCCCGCCGAAACTCATTTCGCTTTGATGGCGTCAAATTGATTTGTTTGCTTGTTTGTCTTTTTGAAGTTAAATGCCAAGACGGCGAGCATCGGCATTCACGGCATCGCATCGTTATCTTTTTTCATTCTTTTTTTGCATTTTATTGGTTTATTTATTTGTTTGTTGTTGCGGTTTTTTCCGCACACATATTTTTTATGAACATCCCACTTTTGATTTGATGGCATATCCAAGGATTAGGCGCCTCGCTTCCCGCAACAACAAAGCCTTGGCATGTTCTCTGCGGCTTACAACGAATTCCTTCCTCAATACAAACGCACACGATTATGAATTAATGCGCGTTGTATATACTATACATATACTTATTATGTGCGTTTGTAATTCGGGTTTATTACCTCAAATGCCAAGAAATGCATTTAATACCAACACACATTTGCAAGCATAAGTATATTAATAAATATTTATAGTTGAACTTGCTGGCATCTTTTCGAGCAAAAATAAGAAAAAGTCTTTTATTTCCTTAACCGTCGCGGGCGGCTTACTGTGACAAAAAAATACTAAGCCAAGGGTGTGCTGAGAGGTTACGTTCATAAAATGAATGAAAACGATTGTGGGCGAATGTTTTCAAAAAGTGATATGTATTATTGATATTTGCATTAGCGGCATAATTTTATAGCATATGGGATTCAATGGCGAATTTATAGCCTGCCCGAGGAAATATATTGGAAGAACGCTTTCTACAGAAAAAAACAAGAGAGAACGCTACAGTCGAGCAAGCCCGACAGTGTAATACCCTGTACCCAGGTTAACTTCCGTCACTGAGTTATATGCGCCCATAGCAGAAGCAAAGAGAGGAAGAAGAAGAGCGAACTTGTTGCTGCAGTTTGTGGGGGTTGTACTGGCGAGAATTTGTTTCGCTAATAACTCTTAGCATGAACCGATTAAGATGGAGGGGGGAAATTCCATAGGAGAATCGGGATACCAAATTTGGTTGTTCCAGCTTTTATAGTTTCTGAGATCCTTGCGTTCATCCAGACGGACGGACGGACATGTCTAGATCGATTTCTCTCGTCATGCTAATTCAGAATATAAATACTTTATAGGGTCGGAGATGCTTCCTTCTGCATGTTACATACTTTGCACAAGCCAAATATACCCTTTTTACCCTACGGGTACAGGGTGTAAAAATATATATATATATTTATAGAGAGAATCTTCTTTCCTCTGGTGTGTATTAATCTTTTAGTGTTTCACTTCAAATCAAATGCCATTTTAGGAAACAAAAAAATTATGAGACAAGCATATTGAATCAAAATTTGAATGGTAAATCCAATGAAGTTAACTTGTTCTCCACAAACTGCACGGGCATGGATAATCTGGAAAAGTGGAAGTTGAAGGTGGTTGCTGCGTTGAAGCGCCTGAACAAAGTTGCCTTCAGCCAACGTTATTTGCTCTACACAAATCTGGGCATCTCCATTGGCCTGGCCATGGTGGGCGACCAGATGGAGCAGGGCTACGAATGCTGGAGTGGTCACATAGATAAATGGGATCGCACTCGAACCATCCGCATGGGAATCTCGGGCTTCACAGTGGGAATTGTGTGCCACTACTGGTACCAGTATCTGGACCAATTCTACCCCAAGCGCACTCTGCGCGCTGTTGTGCACAAAATACTTCTGGATCAGTTCATTTGTTCGCCCTTTTACATAACCGTTTTCTTCATCACCATGGGCGTGTTGGAGGACAAGACGTGGGAGGAGATGAAGGAGGAGATAAGGGAAAAGGCAATTATATTGTACACTGCCGAATGGACGGTGTGGCCGGCAGCGCAGTTTGTCAACTTTTTTTTAATACCGCCACGCTATCGTGTAGTCTACGACAATATCATAAGTCTTGGCTATGATGTGTATATGTCCAATGTGAAATACCGCAAGACACCAAATTCCAGTGATACAACAACAGCGAGCAAGTAGCAAAAAAGTTCACAAAATCATTGTCATGGTTACTTTTGAATAAATAGGCACCAATTGTCTATCACTGTCCCCAGCTTATTCCACATCCCCACCTTTCCTTTCCACCCACATTCCCACATTCCTATGTTATGCGTTGCGACTTTAAGGCGATTTTCGTCGGCTATCCTTTGCTACATCAAACGAAATCAGCACCAACTCAGCAGCCAAAGGCAACAGTTGACGACCACCGAGACTGGGCTAAATTGCTTATGGAATTTATTTTAAAATTTATTTAGCGTACATTTTCAAAGAACGGATTATCCATATTTAGAGCATTATTATAAGAAAGCAGGCGAACCGCCGACTAAAAGGGTTGACCCACCACTTAGAGCGTGTTGATGAATTGCCACAAAAAGGATTTCGGTTCCTCTTCCTCCAGTCATATGTGGGACTGTTGCTGACTGATGGTTGAAATAAAAAGTCAAATAGTAGACGAGCTTAGCATAAATTTGATAAACAATCCTTGACATGCCTCTCAATAAGAGCAATAATGCCAAGTAGGTTAAGACATTTATGCAGAAAAGAAGCAAAGAAGAAGTGACACTCTTCACACATCCAAACTTCTCTTGAGAGTACGTTGAAGATCTCAGCAATTTTGTAAATTTGTATAATGAGGAGCTTTCCAGGCGCCCAACAAAACATTCAACAAATCTATTTGATAGGTATAGCGGCAAATCTATTTTATGTTTAATCGACTTCACAAAAGGACAAGGTCTCGGAAACGCAAATGTTATAAATAAATAAAAATGGTGTACGACGAAAAAATAAATTTAGCAATTGAAGAGAGCATCAGCTCTTCCAAAATTCATCATGAACTTAATCTAACGAATGCCATACGACGTGTAAAAATAACTTCAAGCTCATTAGATTTGGTTTCATATGAGCAAAATATCAAATATCTCCAATTAGTGATTATGAGTCCGTAAGTAACAGTAACAGTAAGCTATAGCCATATATATAATATTTGGCCAAGCGCTGCCCGCAGCTGTTGTTGTTGTTGATGCTTTGGTTCAACATTGTTATGTATACATGGTCGCACAGACACGAATAGACACGCATAGACATGCATACACTCACATAGACACAATTCCTATGTATATGTCTAATTATACACCTTTTACGTCGGTTCAAATACCAAGGGGGTAAATTTTTTTTTATTTAAAATTTTTATTATTATTCTACTCATACATGTGTACAGAATATTTCGTCGGGGCGTCCGACTTTAGCTTTTCTACTTGTTTTTTTTTTTTTTGTTAAAATTGTTATTTATTTAGATAGATTTTGTCAACTAATTCGGACTTTTACCTTTAAATTAACCGTCGTTATATAATAAAATACATATGTCATATAAAAGACTTTCTTTCGAAGAAAGAAATGCCATAACATGGTATTTCAAAACCGTGCCACATATTCTTAAATCAATTGATGATTGAAGGATTTCTTGACCTTTCGTCCGTTGATTTTATTCAATGATAGTTTTTCTTAATAAACCACAATCTTCAGTAAGTTGCAAGAAGTCTGCTTAAGCTTAAGTACTAAGTGCTACTGATTAAAAAAGATAGTCATTTAATTAAAAACTAACAATTCCTCATGCTCATCTTTAGAAAAATAATCCAAGATATTATATCTACTATTGCTTCCCAATGCGATCTGCTACATGTCTCGTATTTGTACAAATTTGGGGTTAATACGATTCGACTGCTGCATTTGCAAAGGAGCAAACTTTTATTTTTGCAGTAAAACGTATAAAAAGCAGGTTAATGCAATCGTTGCCACAGAACTCTTCGACTACTTTTGCGATAATCCCTTTCGAATGTACATTGCTGCTGATAGCAGTTCATTTTAAAATCCCTTAAGTCCCTCACATCAAGTGATACCAAACGCTTCCATAGGAGTACTTACCACGATGGTGGATTTTGTCTACTGCTCTGACATTTCTGTGATTATTCGGGTGCTGCAGTTAAATGCTCCTCCAAAAATGTTAAGCACAACAGATGACAAACCGCCGACCTGTCACTGTCACTTTTCACTCACCGTCCCGCTCGGCCCAACGGATGCGGAATGCGGAATGTCGAGCCAGGAACTAGGGCTGCGACTGAGCAGATAGCAATGAATGCCGCGTCGAACACTTGAGAGACACCACTCGAGCGCGGTAGGCACTTGACGGGGAATTGTGTCAAGAGCATAAAGTGAAAGAGGGGCACAAAAAAAACAAAAAAACAAAAAAACAAAAACAAAAATGAAAACAGTGACAAAATTGATGTCAAGACGAGCGGACTAGGGCTCCGTGCCAAAAGATGGCGCCTCAAACATACCCAGCTCTCGCCCCGCCCATCCAACGTTTGCCCAGCAACGACCAACACACGTCAACTAATCCAATTTAAATCTCTTAACATGATTTGCTGCTTTCTTTTCATTTTGCTGGATTTCATGCCATTATCCCTTTTTCCCTGCTGTGCCTGACTACTTATGTGTGTGTGTGTGTGTGTGTGTGTGTGTGTGTGTGTACGCGGCTCTTTTACTTTCACACTTGCCAAAGCAAACACAACGCCATCGCGTTTTTGTCGTTGTCCTAGACGGCTTCGTCCAGCCGGCAAGTTGACTTCCTGTCCTTACTTTTATCTGCGTCGCGCAAGGATACAACGAACTGAAGCCCCAAAAGGGTTTATTTATTTGGTTTAGCAGTTGCTTTAGTTGCCTAAGTTGCTCTATCTACCATTCTGTGATTTAATTTAAAAGCTAGACAAACTGTGTTGTTGCTCGTAGGCGTTTGCTAGTTTTCAGCACGTGGCCTGACAAGAATTGGGGTCGAAGGCTGGCAGGCTCTTCTCTCTTGATGATTTTGTGTGGTTAATGCATCTAAAACGAGAGACGTGCCCTAAAACCAGGGCTGGAAACCATATACGGATACTTTCTATGTGAGGCCATACAAATTACAAGAAAATTTCCATCTGCTCTCCAACAAGACATTTGAAATAATAATTGTTTTAACATCATCTGGTTAGAAATAAACTTGGGTGTTCTGTATAAAATGTACATTTAATTCAGTATAAAGACAACAAAAATAAAACACCCGATTGCCTCAAGCGCAAAATGTTGCTTCTATACTTTTATGAAGTTCTGGATTGAAAACATTTAAAATATTTTTAGAAAAATGTTAAAGCTGTAATTTTTTCTCATCACAAGCCTTTTTTTCAGTGAACAACTGCAAGACCAGTAGAGGCAAAAACAAACACAGAAGTGCGGGTCAGACTATACATATATGTATATACTTGTAGTTCATATATGTTTATGTGCACATGTGCTTTGTATGTTTTCGCAATCAGCCTTTATATTGCACATTTTTTGAACATGCCAAAAGAACAGTTACTAGTGAAAACTTGTAAACAAACTGTGTATGCAGAAAGCAAATTTATTATTAAAGTTATTTGGTTAAAAAACAAGCGTGCGATGTGTAGCTTTTTATTATAAAATATTAGCAATCCACGCCTCATGGCCTATTGAAACCAAACAAATACTTTACAAAATGTATAAAATATTTATGTTAAAGAAAACTTTGCTGTAGCTGATGTGGAAGAAAATTTATTAGTTAATTAGAGAAATATATTCATATTCACTTACTCATAGGCTATAATTTAAAATTTAATCACAAAAAAAATCCCGTAAACGAGTAACTTTTCTTATCTTAGCCTGATTGCGTTCGGTTCATATTGATATTGTATTTGGATTTTTTTTTGGTTTTGATATCAAATATAAATTACATAATAGATAAAAATCTAGCTGAATTCCTATATGTGTTATATGTTAAAGGTCTTGAATACTTTAAGAGTATTTATATATTATTATGTTAGAAGCAAAGCAATTTTTTATAGTGTTCAGTTCTTCAAACATGAATTGAAATTTAATGTTTTACTTTATACATCACAAGTCTGGGATAGATAAATATAAGTAGCCATACATCTGTGCACACGTATTCGAAAGTGTGACGAAGTTAATTAGATTTCTAACATTGTCCTTTTTTGTTGAAAACTTTCTGGGTGAGCTTAGACTTGCTCAAGCTTTCTATAATAAATAAGCTAGGTATCTGTAGGAGGCAACCTTTTCTAGTATTAGAGTCTTTGCCATCACTGTGCTAGCCGTGTGTGTGCAACCCAGTTAGGGAAAACGAGCTCAGCAAATGCTCTAGATCCCACTTCCGCAGCTGTATGAACATGTGTTGCTTATGTCCTTGTTACTGTTATGGCGAATGGCATGCCACGCACATGCGTCCCATTACATGTACATGTGAGCGCAATAATTCCATTTGCTGCCATAAAAAAGTATTACGCCGGTAAGTCCCACATAACAGGCTACTTAATTACCCAAATACCTATTCATGAGCAGTTCCACAGTGTCTTTGTTTCAGTTGACGCGCTAGCAATACCTCAGTTTATGTCTCTGTGCACCTCTAGCACTATAGCAATCATACCTACGAGGATATGCGAGAATATATAGCTATATATATATACATACCTACTCGTAGAATATGCTCGGAGTTGCGCTGCCATCATTCACATTTGGCGATGACGTGACATCTTAACAGCACAAGGTTGGTGCTCCTGGAGGAAGAAGCCAGAACCGCACACAAGTTGCGTTAACTTAATTAGCCATAAATTAGGCAGGATTCACGCGTTTTTAACGACTTGTATGTGCGTTAAGGCTGAAGACTCCTTTTGCCTATCACCTGGAGTGATGGGCATGTGACTAAGTCCATCTTTCAACTTTAACTTAAATGAGTTAATTTATTTAGCTTGTATCTGCCTCACCACCATATAATGCCATCTGATTTATTGAGAGGCTGTCGAGTTTCCGCGCTCTGTCGAACGTCGTATTAGACTGCAATAATAATAATTACAATTGACACATTTGCCGAGGGTGTCGCAACAAACGGCAATTGAATGGAGAAATAAGTTGCTGGGCTTAAAGTTGTCGAATGTGCTTCAAGGGTGGCTAAGTATGTGGGACTTAATTACACTTAGCAAGTCTGAGTGCTTTTACCG